TGAGTCGGTGAGTGAGCCTTTGTTCTATAACATAATATGTGGTGTTTTTACATAATGCATGTGTCTTTAACATAATATATGTGTCTATAACATAATACTTGTGTCTATAACATAATACATAGAAATTGACAGGGGGTAATAGTGTCCGCCCGACAAAATTTAGAGATTGTCTTCTCGTATTTTAGGGTTAGGGCTTCGATAAGGATTATAATGGAATATGGTCATATGCGATGTAATCAAATGTATAATTTGATTTGGATTACGATACGGTTAGAATTAGCTAGGTGTAGGGATTTATTTAGAACATGTTTTAAGTTTTATTTACATAATTAATATGTGGAAAATCTAACTAATATACAATGGCGTATTTTTTGTGGCAAAAAAGCACAATAATCTATTTCCATCTATTTTTTTCACGAAAAAGCGTTATGAAGTAAAGAGAGACAACCACTGCATATCATTTTATTTACAAAGCTTTCTTTCCCTTTCTTCAACAGATTAATATACGATATAAATCGATCAAGGACTCGGAAATCGCAGTTAGTACATCAGTGACGGTTCTAAAAATTTTAACCGTAAGTAGAATCACATTCTTCACACTTTTTGTAGATGTGGGATAAAAGGAAAAGTTAACATTTTGAACCCTGCGTCAGTTTTGCAGATGAAAACGATTACAACTTCTTCTGTGTACACGACATATACATATTCAATGAGGTTAGTTTTTGCCCAGCCACCTTTACATTCCTTGATTCCCTAACGTGAGTCAGGTACCGAACTCAGCTGAGTTGGCTCAGGTAAATGCTAGGGTCTCGACAAAATGAACAAAACTCAAACCCTTCGGGTTAGCAGCCATACACGCTACCGTCCGACCATGACGCCCCATAAAGCTGGCAGCGTTGATGACTTTTTTTTTTTGGTCCAAAGCATATCGAATAGATTAACTAAATAGAAATACTCTTTATCTCTCTCTGTCTCTCTCTCTATTTGTATATGTATATATATATATATATATATATATATATATATATATATATATATATATATATATATATATATATATATATATATATATATATATATATATATATCCCGCTACATTTTCAAATAAATAAACAACGCGCTTACTTTTACATAGTCCAAGAAAGACAGACACTCTACTTTATCTTGTTTTTATAAATATATTTGGCTAATTCAGTACTTTCGACTATTCCAGCTGTAAATAAAACAACTTAATAAAAAGTCTAGTGACAATTTAAGCGCAATTTCCTTATGTTTGACACATCCCTTTCCCCATAGATCTATATATATTGCTATATAGTACTGTAGTGTATTATGTATAATGTAATTTTAAAAAAAAAATTGTGACCGAACGAAAGGATATTTTTGAAAACTTTCTTCGGCAATATTGTTTTAAATTATGGTAGGAATCGATTGGTAAATGTTTCAAGTCGCTAAGTGGTCTGGTTGCCGAGATATGGGCAAAAAACTGCATTTTTTCGAGATGTGTTGGCCCACAATCATCCTCGGAACTTGCTTAACATATTTGCTTTGGAACTAGTCCTCGATATTGCTTCGTTGAGGAGGAGATACGACTTAAAGCTGCGGACACACATCGGACACACATCGGACACACATCCATCCTTGACGAGTTAATAATCGCAATTGTCCGTATGGAAATTGCGCTAAAAACGAGGTTTTTTGGCTTTTCCGGGAAATCCAGGAAGGAATTCCGGGAAATTTTTCGGCCTACAATCATCCTCGGAACTTGCTTAACATATTTGCTTTTGGAAATAGTCCTCGATATTGCTTCGTTCAGGAGGAGATACGACTTAAAGCTGCGGACACACATCCATCCATCCTTGACGAGTTAATAATCGCAATTGTCCAGTATGGAAATTGCGCTAAAAAGAGTTAAATTTAATTTTCCTTACAGGAAACAAACGATGACTCATTCATCAAAGCAATTGCCACGGGAAACCAAATCGTGGGGGGAAAAGGTCTGGAAGCTTTCTCTACCTGGTACCCTAACCAGTCGGACATACCAATAAGTGACCATTACATGCTGTTTACAGGGTAGGTCACTCATGCCTAGAGTCCATGAGTTTGGCTGTTTAGATTGTTTCTTAACATTAACATCCATATAAATTGATGAGACTTTATAACTTTATATTGGATTCGATAGAAAGTAATCAGTGTTTCTTCCAGACTGTTTTCTCCGGGGGGAGGGGGGGGGGCACTTGATATTTTCGGGGAGGGGGAGCCGGTAAACATTTCCGGGGGGGGGGGCGGACACTGGTAAAAGTAAATGTTTTCTATATAAATTCCATTTCATTTGGGGGGGGGGGAGTGTTTTTTATGTTGCCTGTCCTTGTTAACACATATAAGGTTTATGTTTTGATACAGATTCATCTTAAATTCAGGGTGTAAAGATATTATGAAATGAATTTAATTACCTTTTTCTTTTGTAGCATGACGCCTCGCAAATGTTTCAAACTAACAAACGATTTTTTAAAACTCTGAACAATTTCAGCCTTGACATCGCCAATGTATCTGGCATAGCCTACCTGTCCACAGTTTGCACTCGTTTAAGTCTGTCTATAGTTGAGAACGATTTTACTGGATTTGTTGGGGCTGTGGCCGCACACGAGCTAGGCCATAGGTAAGTTTGTCTAGATCCCTACATACATGGTATGATAGTACACATTAATCAGGTAACACTACCTGTATTTAACAGTTAATTGTTTTTTTTATTTAGGAAGAAAAATTCTATGAATTTATTTAATTACAAGCTATAATTTATTTTTTTATATCTTTCACTAGTCATGATTATAAAATAGTCGTTAACTATAATTTAATTTCTCCATAAGATTAATTAGTAGATATTGAATGTTTGGTGGAGCGGCTGGGACGAGTGCCAGTGTTTCTTCTACACTTTTTTCTCCGTGGAGCGGGGGGGGGGGGGCACTTGAAGTTTTCGGGGGGCGGACTAGAAATTCCGGGAAGGGAGTGGGGGCGGACACTGGTAAAAGTATATATTTTCTATATAAATTTTATTTCGTTGGGGTACACGTATGCTGCCTCCCCCCTCTCAATATATACCTGAAAGAAAATTTTTACAGCGCTCGACTGTTAACCCGAAAAACTGGTGTAGTCTGTAGAACTTCCCTGAGTCCAACCAGGTCTGATGCTTATCTGACTTAGGTTAGGAAAGTAAAGGCGGCTGGGCAAAGTGCTGACCAGATTATCCCGCGATTGAATGGATAAACTCAGCTCTACTTTCTCATGTGTCTGGAGCATTAATAAAAACAAAGATGGTGATAATAGGATACTAGCTTTTCATTTTTGTCTATGCTTTTAATGACAGGTGACATATTATATGATGATGGTGTGAATACAATTCATGTTGAATTGTTTACGTATGAGAGAAACTAATAAAAATCTATGATGTTTATAGAAGAAAAGGGTTAATGTCTGATGTTCGCTGTTTCAGTCTGTCGGCTGTTCACGACGCTGTTGAACAGCCGACCTGCTCCGACGACAGCCAGTACATCATGGCTACCAGTTTCAGGCTACCTCCGGCAGCAGGGAATGATGGTAGACCGTGGCAGTTTTCACGGTGTTCCATTGATAAAATCAAAGGCTACCTCAGAAAGTGAGTACTTCAATAGCTTGTAATACCTGTAATTACTTCAATAGTGTAAGTACTTCACTGGTTTAATGACATGCCTGTAAGTACTTCAATAGCTTGCTGTCATATCTAAAAGTACTTCAATAGCTTGTTGCCTTGCCTGTAAGTACTTCAATAGCTTGTTGTCTTGCCTGTAAGTACTTCAATAGCTTGTTGTCTTGCCTGTAAATACTTCAATAGCTTGCTATAGTGCCTGTAAGTACTTCATTAGCTTGCTGCCTTGCTTGTAAGTACTTCATTAGCTTGCTGCCTTGCTTGTAAGTACTTAAATAGCTTGCTGTCGTGTCTGTAAGTACTTCAATAGCTTGCTGTTTTAATAGCAATAATAATAGTATTTTAGTATTTCAATGGCTTGATATCATACTACATTAATCTTAAGCACTTGCGATCCTTGCCTGATATAATTGGTTTACATCATGCTAATTTTTTTATGAAATTTGTTTTGGAACTAAAAATTGACGATCAAAATTCGCCCTTCATTTTAGAATTTGGAGCACTATAACAAATTGAACATATCCTTTGTCTTACACAAACTAAACATCTCCTTTATCTTGACAAATTTAACATATTTGTTTTGAGCAATTCATCGTCTTTTTTTTTAGAAATTGAACGCCATTTTTGTTTTAATAAATTGCTCTTCTCCTTTGTTTTAACAAATTGCTCTTCTCCTTTGTTTTAACAAATTGGCCGTCTTTGTTTTGACAGCGTCACGTGCACTTTGCTGGAGAACACGTCTACAAATGACGTACTTCCGGCTCCTTCAGAGGGTCAAAGAGCCGGTCAAGTTCTAGACTTAGATGAGCAGTGCCGGCTTGAGAACAGAGACGCAAGAAGTTACTATTGTCAAGTAAGTCTTCATTTGTTAAGCCCATCATAGAAAGTAAATCTAATTTTTATGATAAATGTATAGAAAGTATAATTTTAAATGAAAAACTCCAGTGTTTAGAAACTGTTTGTCAACATAAATTTTAAGTTAAAATTATGTTTTATGTTTGAACAAGTTTTAACGTTTAACTAATGTTTGACAACATTGATGTTAATTACTAAAATTATGTTTTATGTTTGATTTTAAGTACAACTATTTAACTAATGTTTGAAAACATACATTTTGAGAGTTAAAATGATGTTTTATGTTTGATTGTAAGTACTAACGTTTGACAACATAAATGTCAAGAACTAAAATTATGTTTTATGTTTGAATAAGTTTTAACGTTTAACTCACGTTTGACAACAAAAAATGTTAAGAACTAAGATTATTCCATTTTTTTTATAAAGTCCTAACTTTTATTTCAGGCAGTCCAGGAACAATATGGAGGTGAAGCTTCTCTATGCGGAGCGATGTTCTGTAGTGCCCCTAATGATAGCAACATCTGTCGGTCAATTATACCACAAGAGTATTCTCCCTGCGGATATAAGGATGTAGGTTGTGTCGTTTTATCTTAGTGTTGATAGTGTAGTTTCTTGTCGTTACATGTTGTATGCGTGATAGCGGTGTGATAGAAACTGTAGTCATTCACATCATGAGAAGTGGTATCTATGTTAGTCGTTAGCCTCGAGTTTTGAGATGGTGTTGAGTTAAAAACGAATCTGAGATATGTCGCTTACAATCAAACAATTAGTATTTTTTTTTTAACCTTCAGTAATTGTATAATATGGTTTAATTGCAGTTTAAGCAGCTATGACATTTGTAATTACTTTTAATTAAATTTTGTTTTCAAATTCAATCCAGGATATTTTTTAAACTATTTCATTACGGCTTTGGTCTTTAGTTAATTATTAGATTATATATCAAACATAATGAAAAAAATCGGAATTCAGTTTCAGTGGTGCGTGGCCGGATTATGCGTGAATAAAACAACAAATATAACATCGGATGCAGTACGAACTGAAGCCAATACTACAACCACCGAAGAACCGTCTTCAACTACAGAAGAACCATCTACAACCACCCAAGAATCATCTAGCACTATACAGGAACAATCAACAACCACAGAAGATGCGTCTGTATCCACACAAGAACCATCTACAACCACTGACGACTCATCTACAACAGCACAAGGCCAAACTACAATCACAGAAGACCCATATACAACCACTGAAGAACCATGTACAATCACCGAAGAACAATCTACGACCACCGATGACCCATCCACAACAACTGAAGAGCCATCTACAACCACTAAAGAACACCCTACAGCCACACAAGACCTATCTATAACTACTGAAGAACCATCTACAACCACCGAAGAACAATCTACAACTACACAAGAACCATCTACAACCACAGAAGAACAATCTACAACCACTGAAGAATCATCTACAACAACCGAAGAACCATCTTTAACCACCAAAGAACAATCTTCAACCGCACAAGAACCATCTACAACCACCAATGATCCATCCACAACCGCTGAACAACCATCTACAACCACCGAAGAACCATCTACAACCACCGAAGAACCATCTACAACCACAGAAGATCCAACTACAACCACTGAACAACAATCTACAACCGCTGAAGAACAATCTACAACAACAGAAGAACCATCTACAACCACCGATGAGCCATACACAATCACCGAAGAACCATCTACAACCACCGAAGAACCATCTACAACAACAGAAGAACCATCTACAACCACCAATGACCCATCTACAACCACCAATGAACCATCTACAACCACCGATGACCCATCCACAAACACACAAGAACCATCTACAACCACAGAAGAACAGTCTACAACCACAGAAGAACCATCCACAACCATCCAACTCCCATCCGCAACCACATACAACACAGCTACAACTACCAACAGCCCAGCTACACAGACCACATCTGTAACTATGACAACAGATGCTGCAACAACTTCTTCAACTTGTCTGTCGTACCTTAAGACCAACATCTTGGCTTACTTCATATTTTGTCTTTCGTGAGTACTGCGCCTGTTAGTTAGTTAGTTGTGTATTAAAAACAACTAATTTATTTAATAACCACTTTGAAGTTTCATGTTGGAAACGTATTTTTTTTTTAACATTTGAACTTTTATATTTCAACATCTCTATTTAGTAATCAACAAACAACCAAATCCACGGTAGTCACGACAACAGCATCAACAACATCACCTACAGCAACCACTGCGATGAAGATGACAGCACCAACCGCATCAATAATGGCAACCACGGCGCTAAAGACAACGGCATCAACTATAGCAACAACAGCAACAGCAGCCACTGAAGGGACGACAACAGTCACCAATGCTCCACCCATGCTAGCAGCCCTACCCGCTTTACCCTGCTTACAGTACTTGAAGAAGAACATTCTGCAGTACATGATTTGCACACAGTGAGAGCGTGACTTCATTATCTACTAACTTATTTGATCGAATAAATTGACTGTATCATGTTTTAAATTTAGAATATATCCGAATTCTACTTTGACCCTAAACTATATATTGAAAATTAGCCCCAGCACTTTACGGAAGTTAGAAACTAATCTTGAAGATTAAATCATAACCTTAAATACCAAATTAAAGTTATTTTAAACAAAAGTAGCATACGAAACTAGTCGTCCAACTAGCCGTACTGCTCATATGTTTCTTGACCTCAGCATTATGAAGTGATAGTGTGGCCAGCAATATGTCCAGCCACCTTTACTTTCCCTATCGCGAGTCAGGTACCCATTAGATGTAAGTGAGCTCAGGGGAGTCTATCAAACTCAAACCAGTGAAACGAACTTAAGACTTTCGGGATTGTAGTTGTGTACTCTATCTACCCACCACGCCGCAATATAAAGTAGCTTTTAACATGCATTTTTTTAAAACTAAAGCTATAAAATAATATTAAATTTACAAAATTTGTAAAGGATCTTTTATTATAAAAATAATCATTAAAAAAGTTTTAAAAAACCCACGTTTTCTGATTGAACTAAAAAGTAGAAAATAAATGTTATACATCACAATAATGCAAGCGATCACTCTACTATAAGCGATGAAAAACGTGGGGCGCCGAAGTAAAAGTTATATTACTATTGATTAGATAATACTATTGACTTTTATTAGGGAGCTTGTAGAGAGTCAACAGTATTAGAAACTGTAAGAAAATCACGGCGCCCCACGTTTTTGATCGCTTATAGTAGAGTGATCGCTTGCATTATTGTGATGTATAACATTTATTTTCTACTTTTTAGTTCAATCAGAAAACGTGGGTTTTTTTAAACTTTTTTAATGATTATTATTTTCTACTTTTTAGTCTTTGTCTGTTTGTTTGCATTGAAATCTTGCTATCGATTTTATCTTTTCACTTTTTTTTGGGTAAACGAAGACAACTCGTAAAAAGACAACTCGTAAAAAACGAGAGACCCTTTCTTCTTCGGTCTCAATCGCAAGTGAATGATTGTCAGAGGTTAGTTGATAGCGGTTAGGACGAGGGCTGGTTACTGACTAGAACACATAGATTTGAACCCGTGTCGAGTGGGATAGCAATCGTGTGCCCAACCACTCGACCATATCGTCTCCCCCAAACTGGCCTACCTCCTGTAAGTTTAAACTCGGTTCAAACTAAATTATCTGCCCCTAAGCCTGTGGCGACGTGGGATCGTTCGCTTCACTGCGCGCGAGGTACGCGTCGCTCGTTTTTTTTCTAATGGCTCGCAGAGGAGAATTATATATATAGATTATATAGCGGTCTAAAATGCTCAATAAAATGTTTCCATTGATCAATTTAGTAATAATAACAATTGAATATTCTATGGTCATCCAAAAGAAAGCTTCGCTGAAAATTTCAGCGCGCTAGCTAACTGGGAAGTGCCAGAAATTTTGATCGCAAGATTTGATTGGAAAAACAAACAAACAAACAAAAAAACAGAGAAAGCAAGTTAAAGAAAACGTGGGAAAAAAGTGTTTACGTGTAATCTTTACTGTTACAAAACCAACAATTTAAAAATCAAATTGCAGATTTTCAAAACATATTTCTTGTTCTTCTTACAGGCTAGGCCGATTTGTCTAAAGGATTTTACCAGAGGAAAATGGAGAACATCAAATCAGATGAACTTACTTTTTTATGTTCATAAAGTTTTGCTGAGAAATCAAGAGGCCCATATTTTTTTTAAATGCTTAGTTTTATTAACTTGTATTGAAATCAGATAAATAAAATATTTGCAGTATCCTCTCCAAAGTACTTTTTACTTAACAGTTATTTGAATATAAATTTGACTATTTGTGTTCACTTAGATTATACATAATAATAATTTCTGTTGATAAAGATTCAACGATATAATTAAAATATAACTTTGATAAAAAATTTTGAGCATAAAATTTCATATATATAATCGTCGAACTCTTAGTAAAATATGTTTTTGTATACTAGTTAAACTATATACAATTAAAATATTAAGTTAACAATGCACTATTAAAATATACTTTTGTTTATTGTAAATTTGTTAATTTTCCAAACAATATCATGAAGAACATTTATAATTTGAAATTTAAAAAAAATGTAAATTAAGCTTCACTTTCTGAAGACAAATACTGATTGGCTCGACAGAACTCCGTAATCGATATTCTGAAAACCTTACTTCGCGAGAAAAATGGCCCGTTGAGGAAGGATACACCGGGCGCTAGGTTGATAGTGCTGTCTATTTTCTCTAAACTAAAACCACCCCATCCCTCCCCCCACCCCCACCCCCCCACACACCAACACCCCCCACACACACCAACACCCCCCCCCCACACACACCAACACCCCCCACCCTCACCCCCCCGACCCCACCACACACCAACACCCCCCCACACACACACCAACACCCCCCACCCTCACCCCCCCACCCCCACCTCCCCCCCACCCCCACCCCCCAAAAAAACATGTCTACCGTCCCATTCAACGAAATATAATTATATACTTTTTCCAGTGTCCGCCCCCTCCCCGAAAATTCTACCCCCTCCCCGAAAATTCTACCCCCGCCCCCGAAAATTTCAAGTACCCCCCCACCCCTCTCCGGGGAGGAAAAAGTCTGAAAGAAACACTGGTGTCGCGCTTAGCCACTACCCGAAGAATTGCATTAAAGAAATTGCAAGAAAACCACTTTTTAGATTAGACACATTAATTAGGCGGTAATTTTATTATAGATTATCGATGAAGAAATTTCTTTTGAGTTAGGGAGGGGGGAGGGGGGGGCTCAGACGTTCTTACGCGGGGGTGGGGCTTCGCCCCTTCCCGAAGAATTATATGAATGAAACCACTGAGATTAGACAAAATTGGGTTTTTATTCAATGTTTACTCGATAATCAATGACGTCATATTACTGTGTACACTCTCCGGCTTGATATTTTCTTCTATATGCTCAATGACGTCATCTATAATAATAGTTTCGCTGTATTTTCATAGTTTCACTATGCATGTTTTTAATTTGCTTGTGTTTTCTCTAGAGCGTTCTTGTCAGACAGATAGATAGATAGATAGATAGATACATAGAGAGACAGCGAAACTATTAGTATTAATAAGAAACTCATAGTAATTTTTACTCAAAACTTTGCCGATACAATTTTTAAAGTTTAGCCATTTTCGTTTTTACTTTCTGAGAAAATGTAAACAATAAAATTGTCTTTTCCATTGCTTTAAAAAACTGAAAATACTAAAAACACCTATTACGTCTTAAGTAAAGTCTTAAAAAAAAGTGAAAAGTGTAAAAAAATAAAAAGGTTTTCCTGTCGATGAAAAACCCGTGTGACTCTGTAAGGAAAATATTTTTATATTTTTAATATTTATATGTGCATGGACGTCAAAAAAAATATTGCACAGAGGCGTAGCGACCCTTCCCGGCGCCCGGGGACAAACTTTTCGATTTGCACACCCCCTCAAGATTTCGATTTGCTACCCCCCCCCCCCCCCCGCACAAACTCTCAATTTGCATCCCCCCCCGTCAAGATTTCGATTTGCACCCCCCCCCCCCCCCTCAACCTTTCAATTTATTTTTCCAACCCAAAAAATTGTCCAACAAAAAATTTAGCTTTTGTTAAATACCAGCATTGAATTAAAATTTGAAACTAAATGTTAGCAGTTCAATGAAGATGAAATATTCTCAGACGTTAGCTCATTCTGATTTAGCGTAAGGATCTTCGAGTGAAAGAAAAAGAGCGTGACACTTTTTGACTTGGTAATATTACATTATTTGTGATGTTTTTAGAAGCTTGGTAGTGGCATAACAAATGTTAGTTTTGTTAAAAATAGAGAAAAAAAGCTCGAAACGTTCCTCGTCTTTACAGCAACAACAACCTCTACGGGATCATCGACTCATGAATGGGAAAATGTAACAACAACAGGAACGACAACATGCTCTACAAGAAAAACGTTTACTGAATGGGAAAATGAAACATCAGCAACAACCTCTACGGGATCAACGACTCATGAATGGGAAAATAAAACAACAACATCAGCTACAACAACCTCTGCACAGTAGATAAAAAATTAGGTATTATTTGAAGTGGGTTACAAGCCTACCTATGAAATGCAGTTCGATTAAGTGCTCTGCAGACAGATAAAATGTAGACAAATATGGTAATCGCGTTATTGAATCCTTGTCTCAATCATCTCCCTTGAAGTAAAAAATATAAATACTTGATTTGCAAGAACGTAGACAGTTTTATTTAATTATAAGAGGCCGCTTTAGGGTTTCGTGTTACCAGCAGGCATGAATGTCTGCGTCTTAATTAGGGTTGCCAGATACCTTTTCCGAAAATACTGGACACCTTTCCATCCTTCCCTTCTCAGGTATGCCGCAAAGCAGAAGAAGGGGGGTAACAGAGTATTATTCATATACTTGTCCAGTATTTATATTTATTTTATCCTGGACAGTCTGCTCAAATACTGGACTGTCCAGTTCAAAACTGGACACCTGGCAACCCTAATCTTAATACAATCGTAGTGGGTGAAGATTGTAAGATTTTAGGGGTGGGGGAATCAGTAGATTGTACCTTAAAACATTATACCAAGAATTGAAGTCACTGTAATACCCAAAGGGTGTATACAATATATATAAAATTGCACATAATTTGTTATATATTTGTATACAAGTCAACGTTTTATTTTCAGCTCATATATTTAAAAAAAAATTATATTACATTAACTTTTCGTTTTTAGTTAAAATTTGATATTCAAGTTAAAAGCATTTCTAAGATATTCTTATATATATATATATATATATATATATATATATATATATATATATATATATATATATATATATATATATATATATATATTTATATATATATATATATATATATACACACACACATATATATATATATATATATATATATATATATATATATATATATATATATATATATAT